TGCAGTAAAATGAATAAATTCTGGGTATTTTTATTTATGAGTAGGCTTCTACCTTAAATCAGTTGAGTTGTATTAGCTCATAATAGTATTACAGCTGGTGTGCCAGACATCATTGTCCAAGCAAACACAATAATATGCATAATGTTTAATGTACTCACCACACATGTCATCTACATGTATACTCCCAGGGTCACAGTCGCTATAAATCGGTTTAATGAAGGAATCTTCTAAATTAATGTACATTGTATGGGTATTATTGACGACCATCGCAATCTTATCTTTTTCCATCCATAGATCGCTCAGTGTCATGTCATTAAGTGTTTCATCAGTCTCAGAAGCAAGGCTAGAAATAGGGAAATATATAACGGCCAGTCATTACCTCCAACTATGTCGTAACCTAACATTTAGCTGTTTAACAAATTGCCTGACACCATTACTGTACTCGTCCGACTTAGTGCCCATGCTTGACTCAGCCCACTCGTCCCTCATTTTTGGGATCACGTTCGACTAAGCGTCCATCTCTTATAAAATTCCCCAAATTAGACCATTGTGAGACTGGTCAGTTTTAACACATGTAATTGATTAATTTTATACTGGATTATTCAAATATTATTGGCCATAGACATGCCATTCAACATGTGTTGTAAACATTGGATGGGACCCACACGATGTGATGTCCAGTGGATGAAATACATATGTTAGTATGTTGATATTCACAAAGTAAGTTCATGAATTATCAACAAATTATATGGTATATTATATTTTCAATTCAGGTGCATTTTGAGCAGGTAGAATAATTCCAAGGTTCCAGGTGTTGAGTGGGTTTCAGACGTACTCAAAACATACATGTAGAAGATTTTCACACTGAATTCATTAATCTTTGAGGCTTAATGCATAATAATAATGAATTTATTGCATCTAAGTTTCCATTGGTTGACAGCAATAAAATGTACAATACATGTAAAATGTCAGTTATTGTTATTTCTGATTTTATGACAACTTTGATGCACAAGTAATTCACTCGAAACTCACCTCTCAACATTAAAAGTGAAATTCACATATACTTCTCCCATCTTTCCATCTAAATCTCTTCGTTTCCTAGCAACTGTGTCACACTTCACATTGATACTGCTCCTAGCACAGTTTTCTTCTTTTCGTTGACAGTAGCCCGACATACCAAATGTACTCAACTTTATCAACTCAATAAAACTATCTTTGATTTCGTCCTCTGCATTTTCACACTCCGTACTCAGATGGTGGTATGCAAATTTAGCTTGCACCGACCAGCCTGGTTTTCGACCTCTCCTCCCAGCTGTTAATAAAACAACAAATCTTTTAAACGGCAGTGGTTGCTGTGCCACGTGTATGCGAGATATTGGTTCTATATTAATGAAGATGCTGTTTTGACTGTTGCATAGAACAAAAGTACAAAAAAAGAAAGACTGTACCAATGTTTGATATAAACTGCCTGGGACAATTGAAACATAAATATCACGATGTGTGGAGCGATCGACCACCACCTCTATTTCAGTTTTCCCTTAGCCAAATTCGCAGCTAGTACATCATAGACAATTTGCGAGTTGTATTTTTTTCACAATACATCATAAAATCCACCATTTATTCAATTTATTATGTAGCATGCAGAACTTAAAATTAAACATATACTGTAAAATGTGTAATAGAAGCTGCTGACAACCAAAAAGTATGCTCTCAGGTAGTACAGGATCACATTGACCTCCAATGCATATGTCAGCCAATAGGATCACTGTAATGCCCTTATGCGTACCCTGCTGTATTCTTGTGATAACCTCATAAGGCATTGTCCTTGCTACACTGATCTGACGCATACACAAAGGAGTGCCAGGAGTTTGTTCAAAACGTTTCAAAGTCAATCATCGACCAGCACATTTTTTGTAGATATATAAAATCATTTCAGTAATTTCTTTACTCAATAATGAAAAAACAAAACTTAGAAATATTGTAAAAATAAACTGGCCTAAAAAATGCATAAATTTGCAGCTAGTTCATGATTCGGAGAGCGTTCTACGCATGAATTCATCACGTTCAAGGACGTTCTATTTCGAGCTTATTGAAAATTCAAACACAAATTTTATTATATGTTTTACCAAAATATGCAATTAAAAATAAACTTAAATTGTAAAAAGAAGTATCAAGTTTCATGTATGAACAAGTGTAAAAAGGCGACGAAGCACTATTTTAGCCCAAATCAACTAGTAAGGCATCATATGACACAAGTTTGTGCCGAGACAACACCTCATAAAGTTAATACAGCTGAATAAAAGGTCAAAGGTTAAAATACTCACAGGAACAGGCTGGGAGTTCTGGTTGTCTGCTGACTTGTGTATGAAACCAGACACCTGTACCACTATCAGTAATGACACAAAAGTAGACTGGTAGTGGCATTATGGCAAAGTATAAACCAGTATCACAATGTATGGTGCACATATCATCATTATTGCATGCAATGCCACCATTTTTTGGTGCAGATAAAGGTGAACACTTGACTTGACCTGAAAATAGAAAAGTATTATTATACTTCTCACAGCAAATAAAAATAGAATTTTCGGCAGCCATATTTGCATATGTTATGGACATCTTCCTTATATGAAGAAAAACTAATATTCATTCTGGGAAATAATAATTTAGTAATCAAAATATGTTCACAATGCTTCATAAAAAGGTTAAAAGAACTTCAGCCTGCCTTCAGTTCAAACCACAAAATAATAATAATCTATACATTATTACATACTTTCATTTTAATGTTTTTTGGGTTTTTTTCCATTTATTACACTTATTTATTTGTTCCTTCACATCAAAATTGTGGAATCGATTGCAATAAAGAAATTATTATTATGAAAAATGCATGTCCCATTCATTATGATCTCTATATTTTCTATGTGTATTTTGCAATCACATTCACAACAATCACTGTATTTATACCTATGTGCACATGTCTTCATTATATTGTGTATGTGTATTTTGCAATCACATTCATTGTGATCATCGTATAGCTGTCATGCACGCCACATCTATCACGATCACCGCATTGCTTCCACGTTTCAAAAGAAGTAAAAAATATTACCACAAAACTATAAATATTATCACAAAATAAAGAACTGTGAAAATCAGAAAAATCACCATAAAATTAAAAAAATCAGAGAGAGAAATACCCAATGTATTGTAGGGAGTATAACTCACTGCAAATGTGAGAGCATTCGGTTTTAGAGACAAAGTTTGAAATGTAACAGTTAAACAGATGGCAGAATTTGCTATAAACTGATAGAAGCATATACGCGGTACATGTATGCTTTTACAGAAATATAAAAAAAAATTGTTAAAAAGCGTATTACACTGAAATAGGTCATTTGGTTTAAATTTTAGAGAAATTTAATATTATAGAAATATTCACTATGTTAGTAACGAAAACACTAACTTCTATCACTAAATATGAATATTGATTCAATTCAATTCAATGTAGCACTGCAAGACTTAACGTCACTGGTTTGCAAAGAAATTATACTGACTTGGAATTTAAAGGGCGGCAGTCGTCGTGCCACGTCCTGTTCGATATGGGACTCATAGCGACGTATAAAACGTGTGTTAAATACATTGTTTATTTACATGAAATTCGAACACGCGACGACCACCGCGCTTTAACTCACTTGGCTACATGTATAAGCGAAAATAAAACTACTGTAAAATCTGTATTAGAATCCGCGGCTTCTATTAAAATGATACAATGCAATAGAGGGGATGTGGCTTCCATTAGAGCATCTACACATATGAGAAATGATGACTTTTTGGTTCTCAATTATTCAAAAAGAATGGGTGCGACTTCTATTAGGGATGCGGCTTCTAATACAGATTTTACGGTACTGTAAAATACTTTATTTTCGCTTGGAATTTATTTTTGCTATTTCCGCTGAAGGGATGATTTTGTGAAAATAAAATCCAGCGAATATACTTTTTTTCCTATATTTCACATTAAACTCACCAAAAATCAGTGAAAATAAATTCTAAGCAAAACGCCCAAAAAGCATTTTCAGCGAAAATTAATTCCAGCGAAAATAAAGTATTCCACAGTAGATACAGTACATACATACATTTAGTTCAGTGTGAGTCTGGTATATTAAAATCCTACTGTTTGATGGCTCATATGAATCTGAATGGGGAAAAGCTTTTAGCTGAGCATATCCATGAAATTTCATTCTATAGAAGGAGCCGGAATGCTAAATTTGCATAATTATTACTAATTTGCATAATCAAGTGTGTAAGCTAATACTGTGGAATACTTTATTTTAGCTGGAATTAATTTTCGATGAAAAGGCTTTTTGGGCGTTTTGCTTGGAATATATTTTCACTGATTTTTGACGAGTTTAATGTGAAATATAGGAAAAAAGTATATTCACTGAATTTTATTTTCACGGAATCATCCTTTCAGCAAAAATAGCGAAAATAAAGTATTCTACTGTATTATGCTTGATGTAATATGTGTAGTGGAGTTGAATGAGAGGAACTGTATACATTGACACGTAAAGTACACAAATTAACACATTTGGAGAAAAACTATTTATAGAATTTTGTTTGTGGCATTACACGATTGCTCTCCTAGATTTTTTTTTTATATCTTTGAAGGTTGTACACGTAATGAAAAACAGATTAATTATATTTATGTAGTCTTAAATTAAGATTTTAATTATCAAAAATTGTAAATTCTGATTGTTTGGTTCGTTTTACAGGGTTGTCTGCATTTTAACTTGCTACTGATAGTTCTGTATTCATATGTATAATACAGCAATTGATTTCTAAGATAAATATATTCAGTCGGATAATAAAGATTTCCAAAGCCTATAATTCCCGTTTCCCATAATCGTCCATTAGTTTGTGAGCCAGCTGTTACTGAATTGTAAATGTACTCTGTAATTGTGTTCATAATAGTGGTGATGTCAGACTGTGTCACATGTGGTCACTTGATGAGCGCCAACTGTAGCGTCAACTTCATGTCTTTTTGCTTCTGCTGCAACAATCAGTGAAATCAACGACAAAATCTCAGCATGTTGGTAGGATAAAACTCGCATAATGTGTTCTCCAGTTCAATATATAATCAGAAAAGTTGTCGGTAAGATTTGAATTAATATTTCTGTTATTGTTTCACAAGTTCTGTTAGGAAGACAGTAGAAGTGAAGCGAGTTTACACCTTTTAGTATGCCACAATCTTTCCGGTTACAACATGATGAAAATTGTTTTAGACGTTTCTAGAATTTATTAATTTTGTACCAAATAGAAATAATTAATATTAAAAAATAGAAGTCTTGATTCATTATATATCATATATTCAATAATTAATAATGAGGGTTAAATCATCCCACCATTTTATATTTTACCTTTTAAAAATTTCACCAATAACCCATGGTGTTAGGAAACATTGTTTTACTGACAGAAATTATCACTGAGCTTGTTCATTATATTATGGGTATCATTAACTTTTGTGTCTCCTAGCACAGATAAATCAAATATCGCTTTATACCACACCCTTCTGCTGATGTTGTTTAATTTCTCTGATTTATTTTGGCTATTTATGGCGGCATTCACCAGGCACTGTGTTATAATCCAATTATTAACATCACACTCTATTGACGTTTTAGGGTTTAGTTTTTTGATTGAAGGTAAAGTGAAACACTGACAGTTAACACCAATACACACAGACTATTGAGGTGTCAATGTGTTAAAGCATAGACACTTATTAGAAGCCATGGTTAAAGCCACTCAGCTCAGTGAGAATAGACCCTAACACTTCCACAGATCAAGCCACTCAGCTCGGTGAAAAAAAATTCACCAACAGATGTTTTCCCCACAAAACTTTATTTTTGTATGCATATTTTGAATAATAATCTGTACCAAGCACGCGAAGATTTGTCAAGAGTTTTTGAGACGTGTGTCAACTTAATTCCTAGAGCAGACAGAATAACTACAGACCGCAAAACATACAGCAAATTCAGAGTTATGAGGAATTTAAACGAGAATTGTCATTGCATATTACAGCAGATGACATAAAGGGAGTGTGTACAAATCCTCAGCAGTTGCTGGCTTGTTAACTGTTGTATATATCTGGTAGTGTTGCTTATGTGTGGGCTATGTATACGAAGGCAACGTTCAGCACCATCAATATGGTGAAACGTGACGATGAATGTAACGTAAATTTCAATTGACCTCACTGTGATGAGGCATACGTTGTGGAATACGGAAAAAGACCCCGAAGAATGCACTCTGCATACACAAGATGTTAATAACCTTTAACAAGATTATGACGTTAACATATCTCATGAATATTATTTGAAAGTGAAATTATTAATAGAAAGCATTTAGTATGAAACGCCGGAATCGCATATATTCAGTCTTGACCCCAACTCTGTCTATTGTGGTTATTTGAAGACTGTAAACGCTTTCTATCAAACTAAAATGGTCACCAAATTTAACTGCTTTCTTGTTTTACAATACAATCTAAATGAGCTACGGCAAGCCGAAATAGGTCTTGATTCCATACAGCGCCACCAGTGGCTGTTCCCGGCTCCATGCGTCCAGGAATTAGATTGTTGGCATTTGAAAGGGCATTGTTCATCATATTTTTGTTTTAATCTTTTATTTTTGTAGTATATCAAATAAATAAAATAAATGATATGTCATATATTTATGATATAAGTAAATAGCTGGTCTAACAAAGGTCATTTAGACTAGGTGTTACAAGCATTAACAAATATGAACTTTGTTGAAATGACTTGTAAATACACCTCTGCTATTTAGATTATATATGAGCTATTAATAGAACCAATATGGTAAATGTAATACAACTAATAAGTGAAAATGTTAGGTTTATATTTTAGTGTTGTGTAGTTTTCTGTGATTTTTCCTATCAAAATTGATCATCAAATACACAATATGCATCCATTGTGTTTGTTTTGTTTTGATTTTTAATACTTTTAAAAAAGATACAATATATAGCTAATTTGACTATTATAAAAAAATATATACAAATATACCTAACCTAATAATATAAGGTTATTACGA